CCTATCACAATGGAACTGCAAATTCAATCATCTTTAAATAGGAGATAATTTAATTTGAATGGAATTATTTTGTAACTGACATAGAACAGATTAAGTAACACATTTCATTACAATAATATACTTTCCGGCTCCTAAATAGCCTTGAAGACACTAATATTGGAAGCTAAGAAAGGTTTGTCTGAATGGATTTATGATCCATTTTCCACACATTTGGGAAAACTGTATTTGATTTACCAATTTACCCTATTTCATTTAGTCTAAAGACTGATATAAGAACATACACTTAAGCTAAATAGAGTGGACCCTCCAGTCCCACCGGTTCTAAATCCACAGATAAAGTCATGTGCAGAGACAACAGTCACTTTCCACAAGGGGCCAGTATCCATGAGATTCATGGATTACTAACTGGGGCTAGCTATAGGGAACAAACTATGCCCCTACTAAGGCAGCTCTACTGGCTTCCGACAATTTTCTGGGCTCAGTTCAAGGTGCAGGTTATTACCTACAAAGCCCTATTACACTTCAGGTCCGACCTATCTTTGTGATCATATCTCCTTCTATGAACCAGCGCGGGCTTTAAGATCGGCAGAGGAGGCCCTTCTCTTGGTCCCACCACCGTTTCAAGTCTTCCTTGGATCTAGCCACTATACTCCTATTTATGCAGGCAAAATCCCATGTGGGTCAAGTTAACCATGAGGCACCTGACATAGCTGGCTCATGTTTAACTTGTTGTCCATGAGGACTCCAAGATCTTTTTCATATGTACTGTTCTTGAGCCAGGTGTCCCCCATTCTGTATCTTTGCATTTCATTTTTTTTCTGCCTAGGTATCTTGCATTTGTCACTGTTGAACTTCATTTTGTTAGTTTTGTCCAATCATCTCTCTAATCTGTTCAGATCATTTTGAATTCTGCTCCATTCTTCTGGGGTATTGGTTATTCCTCCCAATTTGGTATCATCTGCAAACTTGATGATCCTGCCTTTTAATCCTTCATCTAAGTCATTAATAAAGATGTTGAACAAGACCGGGCCCAGGAGGGAACCCTGTGGCACTCCACTCGTCACTTCTTTCCAGGATGAAGAGGAAGCATTGGGGAGCACCCTTGGGTTCATTCGCTTAACCAATTACAGATCCACCTAACTGAAGTTTGGTTAAGCGAACAAACCCAGAGGGTGCTCACAAATGCTTCTTCTCATCCTGGAAAGAAGTGACAAGTTCAGTGATGCAGGGTTCCATCCTGTTCAACATCTTTATTAATGAGATGAAGGGTTAGAAGGCATGATCATGAAGTTGAATAATAATAATAATAATAATAATAATAATAATAATAATATGCTGTCTTCTCCTAAAATGTCCTGGAAATTGATACACACATAAAGAAAGGGTTAAAGTAGAATCCAGAAATAACACCTGACAACAGAATGCAAACTCATCATCACCTTTCTATGTCAAGATTAGGCACACACACCTTGTATTATAAGTTGCTCCTACAGAACAAAACACTTCTGAAGCAAAGGTTCTTTACTGATATTATACATAATATCATGAAAAACAAGAGAAGGAATCTTGATCTTGGTGCAGATAGCAATTCTCCATTAACCTTGTATTAAGGGACATTTCTAAATCTTAAGCAGTACTCACAAAGGCTAGAAGCAAGGACTGGTTCAGGTTGTCAGAGGATGACAGAATGAGGGTCCATCACAAGCCAAATGAACCTGTTTCTGAACAGTCATGTGCATCTACACTGAAGAATTAATGCTGCTTTAACTGCCATGGCTCAGTTCTGTGCAATTATGGGAGGTGTAGTTTTTTACAAATCATTAGCCCTCTCTGCCAAAGTGTGGTGGTACCTCACCAAACTACAAATCCCAGGAATCCATTGCATTGAGCAAATGTATTTGAAATGTCAAACTGCATTAATTCTACAGTGTAAATGCACACTAAGTTACTGGAAGACCACTAAGGAAATATAACCAAGATGCACAATCTTTGTCATGGAACAATTCTTTCTCATGTGTTACATTATTTATTTTCTCCTGTTCTTCTTCTTTCCTTAACCAAGAGATATTCTGAACTGACAGAATTATGCATATTAGACATGCCAGAACTACCTGCACAATGCATTTTGAGCAAGGAATTTAAAGTAGTTTGTACTGATAAGGGACCTTAATGTGTTGTTAGAACACACTTTGCATGTATAAACTCCTTTACATATCCATGCAGCAGGATCCGGATAAAACCACTACCTGAGTCCTTAGAGAGTTGCTGGCTGCCAGAAAAGATAATACCAGTTCAGACAGACTCAATATATAATAAGCACATCGCAAACAGTACTGAAAAAAAAAAGATAAAGTCACTCAGGTCAAATCATTCTGCAGTTCAACATTGCACCAGCAAGCATTGGCAAGGAAAATCTACTTCAGAACCTGGAGAAGCAGCAATGAGAAGTGCTCTGTCTCATCCCCTCTTTGCCCAGAAGCCAATCCTACATGTAAATCAGCTAAACAAGAGATGCTAATGCAACAGTGTCAAGGATTACTATAGTGTTACACTATGGCACAGGTCTGAGCACTGAAGAAAAAGGATCAGTGGAGAGGTTTGCTCAAATTCATTTTCGTCAGCACAGCAGTACATAAAGCCAAGACAAAGCTCCAAGGAACACTTTAGCATTTAAATCATTGGAAAATCTATTTACCTACTTATGCAAGATAATTACCTTGGAAATATCTATTGAAGGCTGACATATGCAGTCATTACCAAAGTAATAAAGCATGTATAACATTTTTTTTTAAAAAAATGGGGAATAAAAACCTGAGAACTCTGCAAAACAGAGATAAAGTAAATATTTAAATTCTAAAAAAAACCCTACATTTATTTATTTATTTATTTATCACACTTCTCACCCCAAAAGGGACTCAGGACTGCCTCATAAAGGTAAAAGCCAATGCCATATACACATATATATATTGGTAAATAAACAACTTCATTAAAATCAGCCCAATTAAAAACATTAAAATATCAGTTAAAAGTTACAAAATCCAGATCATATTCCAGGGCCAATCCGAGTCATCATTCCGTTATTTGTAGTCTCTTACTGTGCTTAGTCCTACAGCCATGACTGTAGTTTTCTCCTGAAGGTTAGGAGGGATGGGGCCAATCTAATTTCACTATGGAGGGAGTTCCATAGATGAGGGGCCACCACTGAGAAGGCCCTGTCTCTTGTCTCCATCAGTTGTGCTTGTGAGGGGTAATGGGACTGAGAGCAGGGCCTCCCCGGACAATCTTATCCTCCGAGGTGGATCATAGATGGAGATACGTTCAGACAGATAAGCTGGGCTGGAACTGTTTAGGGCTTTCAGTCTAAAACCAGCACTTTGAATAGTGCTCGGTAGCAGATGGGCAGCCAGTGGAGCTGGTATAACAGGAGGGATGTCCTTTCTTGGTGAACAGCTTGGCTGCCGCCTGTTGGACCAATTGAAGCTTCCAAACAGTTTTAAAAGACAACCCCATGTAGAGTGCATTGCAGTAGTCTATTTGGGATGTAACAAGAGCATGGACCATTGTGGCCAAGTCTGATTTTCCAAGGTATGGGTGCAACCGGTACACAAGTTTTAATTGTGCAAAAGCTCCCATGGTCACCACCAAGACCTGGAGTTCCAAGTTCAGTGATGAATCCAGGATCACTCCCAAGCTGCTAACCTGTGTCTCAGAGCGAGTGAAACCCCATCCAACACAGGGCATAAATATACAGAGACAGGACATTAAGAAGGCAAACAGTAAAAAGGGGGCACAATTTATTAAAAGGAAAACTGGATGTTTTCCTGCTACTGGCATTCTGTGAAAATGATACTAGCATGCTAATATAGGGGGAGAACATTTAAGAATATAGCATAAAAGCTGACATTATTTTAATATTTATTAGTTGCCTGATTAATTGATTGCATCTCCCTAGATGGTAACCAAGGTAGTTTATAAGCAATAAAACAAAACTAAAAGAAAACCTTCTCTATAAGACCTTAAGAATCTGGTAGTTTGGAAAGAGAGATAAGGTTTTCCATGTAGCCTGGACTTTACAGGTCAAACTGTGCCTGAAAATGAACTGCAATTGAGATGTTTCAACACAGGGGTTTTATGCTCCCTGTGACTGTGTTTTGGTCCCAGGATTTTTTGTAACTTCTGCAGAGAATATACATCTGGTCCTGCTATTGATCAATCTAAACCTAACATTGTAGCAGCAATTAAAGCTATTTTAAAGCTATGCTAATCAAAATGGGAAGCTATGGCGCACTGCTGGTTCATGAGCTATTGTCTGTTATAGGACAGAAAGAAACAGATGTAGCAACTGAGCACAAATACCATGGCAGTTCCCAGCTTTGTTTTATGGATTTGCTGCCCCTCCCCCCCACACACACACACACCAGAGACCTGTTCTAAAATAAACAAGAAGGCAAACAGTTCAATATTATATAAGTATATGCAGAAGCAAGGTTCAGTGAGTTCAGCAGAGTTAATCCTGTGAAAGTGTGGCAGAATTGCAGCCAAAGCCTCTGATCCTATGCATTCACTCAATATTTGTGAAGTTCAAGAAGAGAACTAACCAATCTAAAATCTGACAGAACTTCAATAATATTGGGGTGAAGGTAGGACCATGATCAGTCATCACACCAGACAGCCACAATTCATTAAAGTTACATCAATGGCACATTGAACATTCTTAATTTTGTGTGGTTTGGTGAGGTATCTGATAGAATACTGTTGTGTTGGACTTCAGTGGAGAGGCCTAGGCTCTCTAAGAGAGAAATTTAAGGATGTGACTACAACACAAATCCCAAGATTCCATAGAATATAGCCATGGAAGTTAAATGGTAACATACTCAGTGTGTGTGTGTGTGTGTGTGTGTGTGTGTGTGAAGCTCTGCTAAGTGTAGGTGCAAGGGACAAGAGAAAAGCAAATTAGAGAGGGGAACTCAATACAACATCATGAAGCATCTTCTACTGACCTTCCACCAGTTGGTCTAAGGTGGTAATCTTTTTTACTCCATCAATGGTGTAGATTGTTCTCACACCCTGGGGCAGATTGACATTATCAGAGAGAGTTCGGGTCAGATCAGCCAGCAGGGCCTCAAAAGACCTAAACCGATCAGGAGAGATGGCATATACAATTCCCTTGAAATACCGGTCACCGTTGCGATAGAAGCGGACTTTCTTGGCTTTCTTCTCAGAGCTGAGGGTCTGTAGAGTGCGGGTTCGGTAGAAGCTGCAATGAGCGCTATGGGTCGGGCTGGGCAGACCGTTCACCCGCGACCCTCGACTGTACCGCTGTGCTTTATCACGCTCATCAAAGTGTTCCAGCTCCATATCTCTCACAAAAGACATCTTGAACTTTTATCTTGAAAAAGAGGGAGAGAAGAAACACAGCAGAAGATGATCAATATATGCTGTAATTGTGCAGCTATAATATTAAACACGAAAGATCAAGTGCTCTGCTAACAACTAGTCAGAATTCACCCTACGCTTTTAATGAAGCCTGGGAATTTTGCTTACAAGAAGATAGTTACAAGAGACAAGAGATGAACAGCTAACATTTAACAACTAGTATGCATTGAGTAACATTTATACAAAATTCTAGGGACTAGCAGTACTTTAGATTTTGAGTTTTTTTGGAGGAGAGGGGATTTTGAAATATTTGTATCTGGGAGATGGGACCCAAGTCTAGAAAGAAAATGTATTTATATTTCATATACACATAATCTGACACTGATTTTATACAAAATATTTGAATAATTTTGTACGAGGCACAAACATTTCAGTACATTGAACCATAAGAAAGCAACAGTGTCCCTATTTCTGCCACTCATGTGGATTATTTTGGAGCATTCTGGATTTCTACTAAGTATCTGAGGCTGCCCTAGACAGCCATATTATGATTTGTGGTAAGTAGGCAGGATTGTAGAAGTATGTAGATATGTTCACATAGCCGGACACACAATCTTTATAGTAAGCTTCTAATCCCTGGAAGACACCAATGAATCTCAGAACTGATATTAATTTATGTTTGGGTGTTCAGATGTAGCCAAGTGCTTTTTGCTCACTGTGAACACATTATGGCTTATGGAGTGGCTGTGGCAGCTTCATACTTCATACTAAGTTGAGGAGCTCCCAGTGGCACAATGGGTAAAACCCTTGTGCTGACAGGACTGAAGACTGACAGGTCGGAGGTTCGAATCTAGGAAGAGAGCGGATGAGCTCCCTCTGTCAGCTCCAGCTCCCCATGCGGGATGGTGAAACATCAAAACATCCGAGTGTTCCTTGGGCAACGTCCTTGCAGATGGCCAATTCTCTCATACCAGAAGTGACTTGCAGTTTCTCAAGTCCCTCCTGACATGAAAAAAGTAAGTTGAGAGGGTCTTTGGGTGCAGTAAAGGAAGGAAAGGGCCCCCACTGCACCTGGGGGGAGGGTGAAACCATGAAAGTCTATTCGTTTTCATTAATAATATTTTTTTTATGCTAAACTGTCAATATGTGTGAGTATTTCCTAAAAATTCTAAAGAGAGGAAGTTGAAACTTGCCATGAAAAAATGATCTAGAGAAGTTTGGGCTGGAAAAAACCAAAAGAGGCCACATGCCACACCTTCCATCCCTGGACTGAAGTAAGAGCAGGAAGTCTTGATTGATTGATTTTTATTTTTATCCCGCCTTTCTCCTGATATAGGGATTCAGTTTTCAGAAGGTTCTTACTGGCAGAGGAAAGTTGCTCTGACAAGAACAAAGCTATAGGAGCAGCCTTCAACTCTTCATGACAGGACCTGGTACAAAAGCTTGAAAGTACTCTTTCCCCATGATGCCGTTGTTTAGTACAGTGTTTCTCAACCTGTGGGTCCCCAGGTGATTTGGCCTACAATTCCCAGAAATCCCAGCCAGTTCCCTAGCTGTTAGGATTTCTGGGAGTTGAAGGCACCCACTGGTTGAGAAACACTGTACTAAACAACGGCATCATGGGGAAAGAGGGGTCCCTAGGGCCAGATTGGGATCTTGGGGCGAGTAAGAATAAATTCTGAAACCAAAGCCCCACCCTACTCCAGCTTCGTTGTTATGTGTCTTAAATTTGATTCTAAATTATGCTGACCCTATCATACAGTTTTCTTAGCCAAATTTCATCAAAGGAAATTAGCCATTACCCTTCCTCTTAGGGTGAAACAATATGACTTGCTTTAGAGCATTCATTTGTTTTCCATGGCTAAGTGCAGATTGGAAGCCAAGTTTCCCAGAGCTTTAGTCCAACATTCAATCTACTCCAAGACCTCCCTATAGCTTTAGCAGTGGCAAATTAGACAGTCAAAGGGTATCACTGCAATCTTTCCTCTGTGCATTGCATCTTTTTCTTTCTCTCTCTCTTAAAATCCATTAATGACTTTAGAATCTGAATACTCTACACATAAAGCTCTCTTTTTAAGTGCAGCCAGAACCAGGGAATAATTGCATTGCAACAGTGACCCACTGTTTCCCGAAATTCCCACTTTTTCTTTCCGATGCACTTTATAGTAAGTTTTGACACTCCATTATTTTCCTCATCCAAGCAAAGTTATCACACTCGATCTATAACATGTGGGCATAACAGAATGTATTCTACTTCTACCATTTGATCAGGACTAGCAGTTCAACTTACCCAGAGTGCCTTGTTTCAATTGCCTGGAAAAAAACCATCCTGACCACAAACAATCAAGCTGTCACTGGGTGAATTGGGAGGACCACTGTCCTCTAGTGAGCCACCAATAAATATGGAACACTTCAGAATAAGAGCCCTGTCTTTCCACTCTCTGGCTGATGAATGCAAGTGAGATTAGTATGATGGGACACAACCGAGCAGCAGACTCTTCTGCACAGGCCTCTCTGAATGCACACATGAGAGCACTGAGTGGATGCACAAGAGCATACAGCAATGTATTATGCCCATGGTCAATTTAACAAAACCAAACATTCATGTGTCTCGTATTTACTGACATTCTTTTATGATAGATATACAATATAATTCTATGCATAGCTTCTCAGATCTATGTCCTATTAATGAGATTTCTCTCCAGGTGACTAAAACATTGGCCGTATTAGGTAATCAAGCTACAAAATGTAACTTCTTCAAATTGCAGTTCCCAGAATCCCCAGCCAATATTAGTCACTGGTCGGTGTCTGGTGGACTCTAGGAACTTTAGTGCAACATGTACTTTCCTCAAACAATCAGGACTTAGTTTTGGAAAACCTATTAGCACAGGACAATTTTAAAAGAATTTTCTTCAGTGTGGGGGGTTATAATTGTTGCTATTTAGGTTCCTTTGAGACTGACAGTTTAAGGTCAATTGCTTTGTCATTGACCCATGAGCAGCACTCCAGTCGGGGGGGGGGGGGGAGGTATATAGTCCTGTTTGCATGATCACTTGGCAGTTGCCTTCCAAGCATCATCCCACCCATCCACCCCTTATCTTGATTATTTTCATTTTGTAACTTGGACGTTTCCCATCATGTTTCCATTGTTATTGTCAAAACTTGCACTGGGGCCAGGCATGTAGCCGGGGGGGGGGGGGGGGCTTCAGCCCCCCCCCCCCGAAATTCTCATGGTGGTCTGCGAGAAGGCCTTACTGGTACATTATTTAAACTGTTATGTTTATTCATATCATGATCTGATCGCCATGCTCAATATATCCCATATGCATGGGGTATTGGGGTAACGATACAAAAGGTTTGCTAGGGTAGACCCTCTTTCACTCAGACTCAGCCCCCCGAACCAAACTCAGCCCCCCCCCCCCCCGAAACAAAATCCTGGCTACAGGCCTGACTGGGGCCGGGGAGGGGTAGCATAGATCCTGGATCTGGGACAATGATTACCAGTGACCCTTTGATATTGGTACCATATAAGAGTTTATTTATGGGATATGGGGTTTGTGGGACGTGGGTCTTGCCTGGTGCAAGGGTATCTTCAGCACCCCTGATGACATGGAGGACTATGCCTAGGGAGCTGCCCACATGGTTCCTTTTCTTGTCATGCAAGGGTTCCATCAGTAGGCCAGTGTATCAGGCTCATTGATCAACAGGTGGGTTGGTTGATGTGAGCACCCATGTTCTTGGACCAACCCAATTTACATATGAAACTAATAAAGCTGTGGCCTTCATTATCCATTTAAAAGTTATAGGTGTTGATGTCATTTTAAAACAAAGTGGTTTTTGCCCCCAGGCCACACAAAACCAGCAAGTCTTAAAAGTGCTGCTACATTATTCCCTGATTCCTTTTTCCTTTTCATACAGAAAGACAAAGAACCACAAAAATATATACAGTTATAAAAGGCTAACTATTTTTATTTTAAATGCTCCAAAATAGCATTCAACCCTGTGGTGGCTTCAGTGGATTAGGAAGGAACCACAGTGGCTCAATGAGTTCAACACTTGTGCCGGCTGAACTGCTGACCTGAAGGTTGGCAGTTCAAATCCATGAGATGGAGTGAACTCCCATTTGTCAGCTCCAGCTTCCCATGTGGGGAAATTTGGGAAGCCTCCCACAGGATGGTCACACATTTGGGCATCCCTTGAGCAATGTCCTTGCAGACAGCCAGTTCTCTCACACCAGAAGCGACTTGCAGTTTCTCAAGTCGCTTCTGACATAAAAAAAAAGTGGATTAGGAGACTGGGAGACCAGGTTCAAATCATTCATCCATAGAAACCTCTGAGTGACCTTGCACAAACTACACTCTCTCAGCCTCAAAGGAAGGCAAAGGCAAATCTAATCTAAACAAATTCTGTCAAGAAAACCCCATGATAGGGTTGTTATAAGTCATAAATTACTTGTAGGTACACAACAATACAACAACAACATTAAGAAATTGCATCTCAATCAACAACTTCAGAATAAAAACAAATTAGCATTTGAACACCCGAAGCCTGAAATCAAACGTCAAATTATTGTCCCCCTTTCACATTTTTTTCCTAATATGCTACATATATTAAACCTCTTAAACTGATTTTGATAAAACAATGTAATTGATATAGTATATGTTGCTCTTTTTCCAAGCTAACACAATATATTTGAGGAGATACATCAGAAGAGGTACTGTACCAAAATATACATATTTTAAAGTGTATGGGGATATCCCTTATTCAGAATGGTGGCCTAGACATGTGGCTTTGTTTTTAATAAATGATCCACAGCAAATGTATTTGCAGCAGAATTGCACTAAACCTAATTTGGAAATGGTTTCTCTATTGTATTGATTTCCAATTAAAAAAGAAAATAGCAGAATTAGACTTCCTACATCACTAATCATTTGATGACAGTTTGGGATGGGGTGAGAAACACTGCTGTCTTTGGGGGAAGCTTTTATATATCTCCTTGAATGACTCTCTAATGTAGTGGTTCTCAACCTGTGTGTCCCCAGGTGTTTTGGACTACAACTCCCAGAAATCCCAGCCAGTTTACTATCTGTTAGAATTTCTGGGAGATGAAGGCCAAAACATCTGAGAGCTCACAGGTTGAGAACCACTGCTCTCATGGCAACAGGACTTGCTTTTCACATAGCCATGCTTAGAACTCCATTTTTTAAAAATATATGAAGAAGGCGTTAACAGTGGCTTGGGCCAAGATTTGGATCTATATTCATATGTACTCAACTGAGTGCAACAATTGAATTAAGAACACAAGGTGCCTATAATAGCACTACAATTCTGAAATGTGATAGGACCAAAAATAACAGGAACTGATGAGGTACCCAGCACACCAATGCCATGAACCACCTGTAAAAGCCTCTGTGAGATCCATATATTTGGAAGGTGCACATGCAGTATAAGAATATAAGCCAGGGCTGGGCAACCTTTATTCTGTTAACATTCCCATAGTGGTAGTACTTCAAAATACAAGCATCAATAGTTGAACTGGGCCAGAACAGTGGCAATTATTATGTTCCATATAGAGGGCAGTGAATTCACTCCAGATTTAATCAAAGCTTTAGTGGAATTATCCAAAGTGCTGAAACCCACCCACCTGTCCCAAATTGGTTCAGCACTTTGGACAGCTAAAACCCAGATCAAATATATATGTGATCCCACTTATAAATACACATACAGTTAGCAACAAAACATCACAATGTATTGAAACAGTTGTGGATCTGGGCAGGAGGCCGACTATGTTGGATAATACAGAATGTTGGATGAACCAAGGTTGGATAAGCGAGACTCTTATCCAACTGAGAAGGCTGAGAAAAGACATAATTAGTCATGTATAAATATGTGAGAGGAAGCCATAGGGAGGAGGGAGCAAGCTTGTTTTCTGCTGCCCTGGAGACTAGAACACGGAACAATGGCTTCAAACTACAAGAGAGGAGATTCCATCTGAACATTGGGAAGAACTTCCTGACTGTGAGAGTTGTTCTGCAGTGGAACTCTCTGCCCTGAGTGTGGTGAAGTCTTTTAAACAGAGGCTGGATGGCCATCGGGGGGGTGCTTTGAATACGATTTTCCTGCTTCTTGGCAGAGGGTCAGACTGGATGGCCCACGAGGTCTCCTCCAACTCTATGATTCTATTGTAATTACAACAACAACCCAGCATGAATTCACAATCCTGATGCAGAAACGACTAATAGCCTCGAGGCAGAATTAACACTGGGCAAGGCTAACCTTTTCCTTTCTTTCTGAGACCATCTTTTTTGTTTCTGTCTTACTTTTTGACACACCCTTCTCTCTGCCTTCCTACTTGCCTAGCACCCCCCCTCTCTAATTTTCCTCATAGTTTAGGAAAGTTCCCTTTTGTTAAACTACAGCTTTAAGCTCTGACTTTCCCTCCTTGACAGTGGATTGACAAGATACAGCTGGAATGCTTTTATTAGAGCTCTGAATTGACTGTGAGCAGAGCTCTCTGGGAATTAAGCCAAGGGACCCAGCAGACTTAGGCTGATGCCATGTTGTATGTTCATAGTTGTCTCCAAACATGAATGTCAGGAAGCAAGACTGAAGAGTCACACAGCATTGGGCAGAGGCCAGCAGGGACGAGACACCATATCTTTTCAGTGCACAAAGATAGAGTCAAATAATTCTTGAAAGCTTGATCAGATTTTGAAAATCTTACATTTGCACCTTAATTCCTAGAACCTCTAGCCCAGTGGTTCCCAACCTGTGGTCCGTGGACCACCAGTGGTCCGCAAGAACTAAAATATGGTCTGTGGCCTCACCATTACTACACCATTGCAACGAGAGTGACTGGTTTTGTGAAATCCACTTATAGGGCCAAGGCTTATTAAATATGGTTTTCTGTGGGTGAGCAGATGGCGATTACTGGATGGCATATGTTCTGTATCAGAAACTAGAGCTGATGTGGTCTATCCAATGTAATTTTCTGAATCAGCCTTCTAAATAACCAAACCAAATCTAACGTTGACCAAAAACTGATTCGTAAGTCTTTTGGTACTAACGTTGGAGAGTGGTTCCTTGTCAAAGTAGTCCTTGGTCAAGTGGTCCATAAAAAATGTTGGGAACCACTGCTCTAGCTTATGTGGGCCACTGAATGTTGCTTGATAGGAGATTCTGGTGAACATAGTCCAAAAAGTAACAGCCATATTTTGAGAGGGCACAATGGAAGCCCTCTCCTATTGATGGTCCTGAGTAACTTTAAAGATATAATGTTCCTGGACATGGAGATGCCATTTAAGCATTATGGTTTATGCCAAATCAATCATAATAGACTAGACTCCATGAATGTGGTTTGAACTGTTTAAAGCTAAACACTCCAAATCAAATCAAATCATTTATTTCGGTCATTGACCAGCACAGGAAATAGTCACATTTTCATACAAACTTGGTATGTTTGGTACATTAAAAATATAAATATAACTACTGAAGCACAATATGGGTGAGGGAGCAGACTAAACACTCCTACTTAGTTATCATGTTCCTTAAATGTGTGTACTTATGGGTTTTAGAGTGAAAATGCTATCCTGAATCTGCTCATTTTTTTAGGAGAGAGGGCTCTTTAGGAGGGCTCCTCTTCTATCATGCATATGGCTCTCAGGGCCCTTCCACATATCCATATTACCCAGAATATCAAGGCAGAAAACCCCACAATATCTGTTTTGAACTGAGTTATCTGAGTCCACACTGCCATATATTCCAGTTCAAATTAGATATTGTGGAATTTTATTCAGCTGTGTGGATGGGGCCTATGAATTAACCATTTTGCCTAAATTGGGCAATAAACTCCATGCACTAGCTTATGGGAGTTTTCAGTTTTACTGTCTAAATGTTGTGGAATGCATCCGCTTACCAAATTAAAGCTACAAGTCCAAGGGCCAATGTTGAGGTAGAGTAGGAACCATGACATGGCATTTGAAGGCATGCTGGAGGCCCGGTTTAGGCCCCAAATCCAAACACAGACATTTTAAATATATTCTGCATTCCAATCCCGAGAGCAGCTTATATAAAGCAATGTGACACTCCTCCAGCATTACAACAATGGCTCTGCATCTGAATGGGCATATAGATTGACTGTGCTGCAAATCAAGCAGAAAACTAAGCAAAAATGCAGAGGATTAAAATGTAGGTCTAGGTGGAGATTTATTTTTTGAAAAAATAGGAAGTTTTAAGAGAAGACCATCTTATTTAATTGGAATGGCTGAAATGGCATCTAGACGATGCCATTCGAGCCCAACATGGCCATGTCACTCCCAAATTTGTGCATTTTGCACATGAGGAACAGGGCACAATTCCCACATTGCTGAATTCCACAAAATAACTGAATGCTATAAAAACCATGACATAAAGGGTTGGAAGGTGGAGGTAATAAATCCATTCAGAGGCTCTGACTGGCACTTAATATACAACGGAACACACCCTGCGAAGACCTTCCTGCCCCACAGTTCACGCCACATCCATTCATTATAGGCACATCACCACCAGGATGAGTAATATCAGAGGGAAATAAACGCAGACCCAAACACGCACCACAAATCAATAGCAAACCAGACCAAAGATTGAACAATAGACTCAGTTTAGGATGTCATTAGAGGAAAATCCACTGCCCTCAGTTATATAATGTGATTTTTAAAAATGTGGTGCAAGAGTTTTAAATATAGAGTGAACAGCCACGTGGATAAGCCATAAATGATAACAGACTTGATGGCCATTTAACCCAGCAAGGAAAAGAACCTCTTGCCATCTCTTTATCAAAAAAGAGGTGTCACCATCTGCCCCCATCTTAGCAGATGGAGCACGTTTCTCCTGTCTCTGCCTGCAAGTTGAAAGCGATGCTGCAGTTGCCAGGGCATAAAATGATGATCTCTTCTGCCTAAGCCATATAAACCAGAATATCAAGGCAGAAAATCCCACAATATCGGCTTTGAACTGGGTTATTTGAGTCCATACTGTGATCTATTCCAGTTCATAGCAGATATTGTGGGTTGCTGTAGGTTTTCTGGGCTATATGGCCATGTTCTCTAAGGATGCTTGCCATAGATGCAGGCAAAACGTCAGGAGAGAATGCTTCTAGAACATGGCCATATAGCCCAGAAAACCTACAACAACCCAGTGATTCCAGCCATGAAAGCCTTCGACAATAGATATTGTGGGATTTTCTGCCTTGATATTCTGGGATATAGGGCTGTGTGGAAGGGCCCATCCACATGCACCAATATTTTCTTTACAAAGAGAGAAATAAATGCAACATTCTGACCCTAAACGCCTGGCACCTGATTAGGGATTAGGAGGAAAAAACCCAGGGATGGAGCCGGTTTGAAAGGGGGGCGGATTGGCTTCACTCAACACACAATGACAGCAATCCTTTCTCACAGGCAAAGAGGGAACCTCCTCCTCCTCCTCCTCTCTGCTTTCAACCAAGCAGCCCAAAATGGTGCAAAACCTGCAGAGCATCAGCAGCAAAAAAGGGGGAAAAGAAAGCCTCCTCGCCAACGAAACAAAAGGGGCAAAAGATTCAGGAAAGGCGGCTTTCTTCTACCTGGCATCCCGAACTGGGAGGAGGAGAGCCGGGAGAAGGGACTGGCACCCCATCCCTTTCATTCATTCATTCACCCACTTACCTAGGACCAAGCCCAAACGCCCTTTCCTCGTCGGCTGCAAAGGATGCCACCCGGGAGACAAAGCCGGCTCCGAGGCTGAGTTGCGGCCGCGCGAAAAGGAGGCTTGCCTGGCTTTGTTGCGCCTGCAGACCCCCTTCTTCGCTCTTCTTCCTCCTCCTTTTCTTCCTCCTCCTTTTCTTCCTCCTCCTCCTCCTCCTCCACTGGCTGAGGCTCTAAGCTGAAGCCGAGGCGTGTGGCTCCAACCAGGGCTTCGCCTTTCTCCTCCTCCTCCTCCTCCTCCTCCTCCTTCTGCTGCCGCCGCTTGTGGGAGAGATTTGCATTCGCCCGTCCCTCCCGAAAATGCGGCTCCACGCGGCTTCCTCCGGGAGAGGCGGTGCCTCCTCCTCCTCCTCCTTTCCCTCTTCTTCTTCTTCTTCTTCCTCCTCCTCCTCCTCTTCTCCCCCTTAATCCCTTCCTCACTCGGAGAGAATTCTTAAGGCTTGGAGAAGCAGATGGGAAAGTCTCCCTCGTCTCTATGTATAGGTCAAGGAGGCCTGTAGCCAAGCCCTGGGCCTGTAGGAAGGGGCCCTTGAAGTGGGCAAACACGGGATTGTGGGTCATAGGGAATGTCAGCACAGGTGTCTATTGTGTGATGGGGAGCACCTGCTGAAACTCCCACCTGTGGATCAAGACTAGGGCTTTGTTGGGTTGTTGTAGGTTTTTTGGGGCTACATGGCCATGTTCTAGAGGCATTCTCTCTATCTATGGCAAGCATCCTCAGAGGTAGTGAGGTCTATTGGAATTAGGAAAATGGGTTTATATATCTGTGGAATGACCGGGGTGGGGCAAAGAACTCTTGTCTGTTGGAGCTAGGTATGAATGTTTCAACTAACCGCCTTGATTAGCATTTGATCTTCTGGCAGTGCCTGGGGCAATTTTTTGTTGAGAGGTGATTAGATGTCCTTGTTTGTTTCCTCTCTGTTGTTGTGCTGTTGTAATTTTAGAGTTTTTTAATACTGGTAGCCAGATTTTGTTTATTTTCATGGTTTCCTCCTTTCTGTTGAAATTGTCCACATGCTTGTGGATTTCAATGGCTTCTCTGTGTAGTCTGACATGGTGGTTGTTAGAGTGGTCCAGCATTTCTGTGTTCTCAAATAATATGGTGTGTCCAGGTTGGTTCATCAGGTGCTCTGCTATGGCTGACTTCTCTGGTTGAAGTAGTCTGCAGTACCTTTCATGTTCCTTGATTCGTGTTTGGGTGCTGCGTTTGTTTTTCCATAACTCATTAAGCACACTGTTACATTGCAATGTTGTTGTTTATTCATTCAGTCACTTTCAACTCTTCATGACCTCCTGGACCAGCTCACGCCAGAGCTCCCTGTCAGCTGCCACCACCCCCAGCTCCTTCAGAATCAAGCCAATCACTTCAAGGATGCCATCCATCCATCTTGCCCTTGGTCGGCCCCTCCTCCTTTTTCCTTCCTTTTTCCCCAGCATCATTTTCTTCTCCAAGCTTTCCTGTCTTCTCATGATGTGGCCAAAGTACTTCATCCTGTGCCTCTAATATCCTTCCTTCCAGTGAGCAGTCAGACTTTATTTCCTGAAGTATGGACTGGTTGGGTCTTCTCACTGTCCAAGGCACTCTCGGAATTTTACTCCAACATTACAGTTCAAAAGCATCTATCTTCCTTCACTCAGCCTTCCCTATGGTCCAGCTCTCACATCCGTAGGTTACTATGAGGAATACCATTGCTTTAACTATGTGGGTGCATCTATACCAGGCATGGGCCAACGTTGATCCAAGTGGCTGAGGGGGAAAGGGAAAGGGCCTGAGGCTGTTAGGAATTGTGGGAGTTGAAGTCCAAAACACCTGGAGGTCCAAAGTTTGCCCATGCCTAAGCTACACTATAGAAGCAATGTAGGTGCGCCCAAATGCTTCGATTCTGCTCAGGCCCGTATCCAGGATTTTGATTCGGGTGGGGGGGGGGGGGGGGGGGGGGTGAGTCTGAGTGAAAGAGGGTCTACCCTAGTAAACCTTTTGTATTGTTGTTACCCCTTGCATATGGGATATATTGAGCATGGTGATCAGATCATGATATGAATAATCCCCACCCTGGACTTTCCACAGATATATAGACCTCACTTGCCTAGTTTCCAACAGACCTCACATAGATGTGGGCAAAATGTCAGGACAGAAGATGGCCGTACAGCCTAGAAAACTCACAGCAACCTAGATCTAAGAAACTGGTTGCCCGGAGACCAAGGGAGCCCACATTCAACAGATTTGAGCCTATATAAACATAATCATCTGCCTCACATAACCTGAATCAGAATTATTTTTTCAGAGTTCATTATATTCTTAAATCTAAAGCATTTTTCAAAACAATTTTATTCATTTTTATATAATTTTTAGTTATATGCAGTAATAATATTGGAACTTCTATTGCATTTTCAAGCTACTAAAAAAATCATTGATATTTTTCACATACTGTGCAGTGTTGGGCCACAGTTAGCACAGTGGGTTAAGCAGCCAGCAACAGAAAATCTTGCCAACCAGAGGGCTGGCAGTTCAAGCCACAGGTGGGCTGAGCTCCCATCATCAGCCCTAGTTTCTGCTTACCTAACAGTTCAAAAATGGCAATCTGAGTAGATCAACAGGCACTGCTGGTAAAAATGTGCTCCTGAGACATGCTGGCAATTCAGTCAGGAAGGTGTCCATGAACAACAGGCTCCTCAGTGTGGAAAAACAACACCACCACCTCTCCATGGCCAAGTCTATCACAGCGTCCAGATGCCGGAAATGAAAAAGAGGGAAGCCTTGCCTCTATCTATTGTCTGTCTTTGTTAATTGTTTAATGGCATTGAATGTTTGCCATATATGTATTCTGTAATCTGCTTTGAGTCCCCTTGAGGAGACAGAGCAGAATATAAATAAAATTTATTATTATTATTATTATTATTATTATTATTATTATTATTATCAAATGGTCCCCCCTTACCATCGGGCAAGCTGAGCCCTGCCCAGTCCACCACTGAGTGTGAAAGAGGCCCACAGTGAGACCCTGTGTCACTCCACATGCATGTAGGAGTTAGAGCTGTTCTTTTGTGTGTTCAAGTTGTTTTCCACTTATGCTGATCCTAAGACACTCTACCATTTGGATTTTCTTGGCAAGATTTCTTCTGATTTCCTCTAAGGCTGAGAGAGAGAATAGCTTTTCCAAGGTAATCCAGTGAGTTTCCACGGACAAGTGGGAATCTGAGTCCTAATACAACACTCATACCACACTGGCTGTTACTTTACAAGCATTTCTGTTGAGTTTCTCTCTCCTACAGAAATCCCCTCTTCTACAGTAGTAGCTAAGTTTCAGGAGAACCTGTCTTAAAAAAAATATGGCCAACCTCCTTAGGAGCAAAGCTTGTATTCATTAGCATTTGTGTATCTGTTTCTATGGCAATGCCAGGCTGCATCTATGCATGCAAGTCCATGGATGATTTATATCTCTCATGTCAGATTATGTGCATTCAGAATGATTCTCCTTTACTGAAAAGAAAACAGGGTTCAGGGCTGGATTTCAAAGAAAGGAAGTGCTGGGGTAGAATTTGGCAGACAAGTGGATCAGCATTTTTGTTTGTCATTCTGGTTCTTCCCATGTGTTCCTTCCTGTTATGAATGTACATGTTCAGTCAGGAATGAAGATAGGAATTGAGAATGAAAGCTGCAATCCTAAGGCCACTTTCCTGGAACAAGCCTCACTGAATTCAATGGCAGTTTTGAGTAGAAAGATGTATAGTGTGTCAGATAATAAGATGGAACTTCTGAACCTTTACTTGGGCTCTTCCAAAGTAATGTAAGATAATATGAGTACCCAGTGGAGTTGATGGCAGAGGACCATTGCTTCAATGCTGGTGGTCTTTGCTTCTTCCAAGAGATTTGCAGGATTTTCCGGAGACAGCGCTGATGGAATCGTTCCAGTAGTTGCATGTGACGTCTTTAGACAGTCCACGTTTCACAGGCATATAGCAGGGTTGGGAGGACAATAGCTTTATAGACAAGCACCTTGGTATCCCTACGGATGTCCCGGTCCTCAAACACTCTCTGCTTCATTCGGGAAAATGCTGCACTCGCAGAGCTCAGGCGGTGTTGTATTTCGGTGTCGATGTTGACTTTGGTGGAGAGGTGGCTGCCAAGGTAGCGGAAATGGTCAACATTTTCTAATGTTACACCATTGAGCTGTATCTCTGGCATTGGGGAGGGGATGGCTGGTGACTGCTGGAACAGCACTTTGGTTTTCTCGATGTTCAGTGCCAGGCCAAGCTTCGTATATGCTTCTGCAAAGGTGTTTAGAGTGGCTTGTAGATCTTCTTCTGAATGTGCACAGATTACATTGTCATCAGCATACTGGAGTTCTATAACAGACGTTGTTGTAACCTTGGTTTTGGCTTTCAGGCTTTGGCCCTCACCAATAGCCAGGACACAAAACGAGTCAAGGTTTACCCAGATTGTACAACCCTACTACATCTCTTTTGAAGGAATATCCCCATTCAACCATGAAAACCAATGAGATGACCTTCAACCAGCCTCATTCTCTCATCCTCAGAGGAAGACAAAGGCAAACCTCCTCTGAACAAATCATGCCAAGAAAACTCCATTATAGGTTCATCTTAAGGAATCTGTAAGTCAGAAACTAAAGGCATGCAACAGTAACAAAGCTAGGGTAAGAATAAAGTGACCCTTTGGATGTTGCTGATCTTCAGTTCCAACATTTCTCACCAATGTCTATGCTGGAAATGTGTACAGGGTGTTATTGCCTCATAACATTTGTGGGGCCACAGCTTTCCCATCTTTAGTATTAATCTATTAATAGATTAACAATAAAGGCCTCACAGATCGACAAACTCTCTTGTCAATTAGCTAGTGAAGTAATTGTTAGATACAATATAGAATAGTTTCTCTTTGCTGGTTTGTAAGAAACAAACAAAAAACTTGCAGGCGATCCTCTCTTCTGAAGGGAATACTCATGGTACAGATTTCTAGCCAACCAGTATTACCCCTTCCACAAAGTAGGATGAAGAGCCTCCCTCTGGCAACAAAGTGCATGTAATGCAAGTTGAACATCCCTTATTGGAAAATCCAGAATTCAAAATATCCCACATGGGTGGCTGAGACAGTAACACCTTTGCTTTCTGATGATTCAGAGTATGACAACTTTGTTTCACGCACAAAATCACTAAAAACCTTCAGGCTATGTGTATAAGATGTATGGGAAACATACATTTTATGATTAGATTTGGGTTTCATCTTCAAGATTTCTCATTATGCACATATATAAAATAATAGGTATTCAAAAATCCAAAATCCAAAACACCATCCCAAGCATTTAGGATAGGGGATA